TGGAGCAGTAGAACGATGGGATGCAGAACTCAAATTCTAGTAAGAAGACCAGACTTAATGGTCTGACTAAGACTGGAGGTGCCCCGGAAAGCATGGCCCCTGGTCTCTCCAACTCTTCAGACAGGGATTGGACTGGACTGTGAGACATAAAGTGATACTTGTGTGTGCTGTCGCAGAATGGGGTGAGCAGTTGGGGTCTCGTAACAATGTATATAAAAAAAAATAAAATTAAAAAAAAAAAGACGTACTGCATTGGGCAAATCTGCTGCAAAAAAGACCTCTTTAAAGTGTTAAAAAGCAAAGATGTCACTTTGAGGACAAAAGTGTGTCTTACTCAAGCCATAGTGTTTTGTCACCTCATATGCACATGAAAACTGGACAATGAATAAGGAAGACTGATGCCTTTGAATTATGATGTTGACAAAGAATCTTGACTATACCATGGACTGCCAGAGGAACAAACAAATCTGTCTTGGAAGAAGTACAGCCAGAAGGTTCCTTAGAAGCAAGGATGGCAAGACTTCATCTCAGGTACTTTGGGACATGTTATAAGGAGTGACCAGTCCCTGGAAAAGCACATTACACTTAGTAGAGGGTCCTCAAGAAAGAGGGAGGCCCTCAACGAGATGGACTGACACAGTGGCTGCAACAATGGGCTCAAATGTTGCAACGACTGTGGGGATGGCACAGGACCAGGCAGTGTTTCATTCTGTTGTACACAGGGTCACTATGAGTCAGAACTGACTCAAGGGCACCTAAGGACAACAGATCTTAGGGAACTCTCTTCCCCATACTCATTGCCTGGCCAGTTCTTACCCAGAACTCAGCTTAGACATGTCCTCCTTCAGGAAGCTTCTATGATAACCACCCAGCACATATCTGGGTACTTCTTACGTGCCCCAGATCCTGTATTTCCCTCTCTTTTGCTCTTATCACACTCTCTCATACCTGTAGGCTTGCTTGTACTTGATGGTAAATGCTATGAGGAAAGAGGCCCTTGCTGTGACCAGCCCATGCCTGGGGCATTGTACCTGTTTGGTATATGCTCAACAAATATTTATTGAATTAATGAGAGTTTACAAGAGCCATGTAATAAAATATAAACATGATTATTCTATAATGTTAATGTAAAAAGCAGAATATAAAATTTTGTGTATATTAAACTGTAACTCGTAAAATAAATAGAAAATGTGATTCCAATTAAAATTAAAAGTAGGGCGGAAGGAACCAGGCATAACTGTTAATAAAGATTATCTTTGGATGGTGAAAAAAAAAAAGAATATAAGGATTTACTAATGATGTTGACTGAGGTGCAGCAAGCATTTTATACATAGTTTTATCACAGTTTTGAGATCTGCTTAAACAACACTGACAGCCAACTGAAAGAAAAATGACCTTTTAATGTATTTTAAATAAAATTTCACTTTCTTCAAAGCATTAAACACATTAAAAAACTTTCACTGTTATGCTCATTTGGAAAAAGCAAAACCAAAGTTTTATGTTTTTACCTGGTCTTGGTACTGGCTGTGCTGCAGGAGTCTGAGTCTTACGGGCAGATGCACCCTCCTGTAAAAGAATAAAAATTGATGATATCAAAGTTCCTTTATACAATAGTGTAACGTTTTAATTACTTTTGAAAAAAAAATCCTTATCACTCTGTCTCTCATTCACTCAGTCACTCCATGGATCATGCTATGACTCTCAATTTAAAGAAAATAAATAAAAAATTGTCCTTATCTTTTATGCTATTAGTCATGAGGTAGTAATAGAGATCTTTTGTGGAAAATAAATTTGTTACCAAGAGCATTTACTGGACCAAAACGAAAACAAACCAAACCCACTGCCATCGAGTCGACTCTGACTCACGGCAACCCTACAGGACAGAGTAGAACTGCCCCATAGAGTTCCCAAGGAGCACCTGGTGGATTTGAACTGTCAACCTTTTGGTTAGCAGCCATAGCACTTAACCACTACGTCACCAGCGTTTCCAGTTACCGGAAGTATGTAATAATTTTCAAGTACTTAATCATCTGCTTAAGCTGACCATTTTAATATTTAATTTACCAGTTTTAAAATCCAGTCAATCTTCTTTCCCCTAAACAGTCTCAAAATGAATAAATGATACCTAAACTCATGTTAGAAAGATGTGAACAATTTTATTTTGGAGCTTGTAAAAAAAGAAAATAAAGCATTTCAAATAATTAAATTCTTTAAAAATATTCAGGAAAAAAATCACATTTATAAAGATAAGATCTGTTAAATTTGATTTAATGAAGATGGGACTATCTCAAAAATTGAATAACAAATCTCAACTAATCGCTGAGCAGGTGATACGTACAAGGTAATTTGCTAGGTGCTAAAGTGTATCAATTATAGACTCATGAGCAGATGCTTCTGAAGTGCTTAAGATATTTAAAAAGTAGTCTGTCTTTAGTGTAAAAGTTTCAATAATATTCATACTAACTTTTCATAAAATATTTTTCTTTATAAAAGGATGCAAATGTAAAATTCTTTATTATGAGTCCATGGAGAGTTTATTCTAATAGTACTTAACAGAAGGAAAGCTAACAAATACCAAATTAATTACATAAATCCACAGTAATGAAAATCAATATTAGGATCGCAAAAAAAATTTCCAAAGCAACATTGTTAAATAATGTTTATTTTATTACACTATATTCTCTTCAAAATTTGAGATTTTTTACATGGTAAGGTATCCCACATCTTATTTATTTTTTATAAAAATTGGTACAAAGAAAAACGTATTTCACTTCCAATACAGTGCTTTCCTAGCATTCAGGTAGAATGCCAGAAAAACTATTCTCTACTGGAATATATAACAGCAGCAGCAGCAGCAACTAACAAAAACTCTCAAATCACATGAGGAAGCAGAGTATCCTTTTCCAACATTTCCACTAGTCTGTATTTAGTTACATACTGATACATTTAAAATTTCAGTCACTCTGAGTCCTGGTTTCACGGATATGCTCGGTTTTTGAAAATCTGTCAAGCTTACTCATGATAAGTCATTTTTCTCTAAGTATATTAAAGTAAAAATTTACATTTAAAAGAAGGTACGTTAGTATCAAGGAGGAGAGCGTATTACACATTCAACATCATTACACTGAAATCTTCTGATTACATGTGTCTCTAAATGCATGTCACGGGACATAACTGTTTTTATTCTTTTTTGTAATCCCAGTGCCTAAAACATAGCATACCTCAATAAATGTCTGTTGAACTCAACTGAGACCTAGATTTTTAAAAACGAGAAGCCAAGGGATAATCATCAAATAGGAATCAAAGTAAAGAGATTTCAGCTTCTTATCCCACGTCCCTGAATAACGAGGAATCAACTATTACATCTTAAAATAACAGGAGTAGGCTTTAAGCATATCGCTTATAATTATAACGTGCGAATACCGCTTCATAGGGGCAGGGTTTAAGTACAAAACAGAAAAATAAAGGCAATAAGGCAGAAAGAACAATAATGAGCACACATATATGCAGACATCATTCTATCTACCTTTGACTATCAGGCTGGTTGCATCCAAATCAAAGCCCTTCTTTCGGAATAGAGTCAACTAAAGTTCAAAATCACCTGAATTCAGTACTATGTGCCTACAAAAAGAATTATCCTAAGCAAAACTAAAATATACCTATAACATATGAACAAAGAGTATGACTTTTAGAAAACAGGTCAGTGAAATGTACAACCACATATAAGTCATATGAAAAAAAGTCTTTTCCATTAAAAATTATAAGCTTTCAAGAATTTTTTTTTCTACTTTTGAAAAAGCTAAAATTTTGATCGCTTTGAGTAGCAATAACATGTTTTTTGTTTGCTCACTAAGCAATCTTTGCTTGCTTACCCTCTCCCACCCCAAATCCCCCCTTTTGGTAATAAACACTACCCCTGGTCACTGGGGGAAGATCTTTGTCCTAGGCTAAGCCGATCAGAACTCTTCTTTAGAATTTTTCTTTCTTTTTTCCTTTTTTTATAAACTGGGGCTAGCTATTAAGACCTTTAGCCATCGGGCTACAAGGAGGTATGCCCAGCTTTATTGACGACCACATCCCTTGACTCAAGAAGAAAATCCATCTACTGAAGAGAATGAAGCTAGCAAACAAGAGGTGAAATACAGCATCACTTATAACACTTATGACGTGGTCTACAAGGCCTATGCTACCTCTGACCTTTTGATTATATGACTCACTGAAATCCCCATTTCACACATACCGTTTTTGCTGAACTGAATCTGTCAGTTGCAACAGACTTTTATATAATTTTGTCTTCTCAATTTATTAAAAATTTGAGTTGCCAAATTCACTATAACTTTGCATAATCTTGGAGTAAGTATGTACACACATACACACATGCACAGCTATACAACTATAACACAACATTCGATTGTGAGATCATCCTACTCTGATCTGCATTATTTTGAAATAAGGTTTTAGAAGTCACTGCATAAGGGATCTCAAAAACCATATAAAATAACTGCAACACCTCCCACTCTGAAGAGACAGAGGTAAAGTGGTTCTCAAAGGCTACAAAGTGGTATATTTGCCATATTATTAAGAAACAGGAAAAATAATTTAGCAGTAATATGGAAGAGACTGGACAGTTCTATGTTTTTTTAAGATATCTGGATTGGAGAAAAAATACTATCCAGCTGGGAAAAGAAAGGTATCAGCACAAAAACAACCAAAAGAGCTGACAAGTTGTGCTAACTGGAGAGGAAAACCTGCTTTCTCCTGAAAAGTCAGAAGCATTACAATTTACCAAGACTTGAGGCAGTCTGGAAAAGACATAACTGAATTAAAATGGAAGGGGAAGACAGTGATAGAGTCGTATTTACAAAGTGAAAAAGATAAAACAAGGTATGCTGTTTACTAGTAATCCATGCTGTTCTTATTTTAACAAGTGAGATAATCTAAAATCTTCTGGTATCGGGAGAGAGAACACTGGAGTCTGTAGCTTAACAAGTAGGAAAAAAAAGAATATCATAGGAAAAAAAATTGTAGCCAGTATCAGTATGAAAAAGAGTAGACTATAAATTCAGTTAATTTTGAAAAAAAAAGAAGCTATTTCACATGAAATGTAGTGAAATACTGAAAACTCTCAATGAAGAAAACATACAGAATCTATATATGCAGACTAATTTACCTTCCTGACTATACCGTATTAACGACAGCAAAAGTCACACATCTTAAACGTTAATAATTATAACCTTGCATACTTTTGCCTTTATAAAAAATAATTTCTATGAAATCTGCGTTCGGTATTTAGAATTCACAAGTACAATAATATTTAAATAACCACTTGAATAAGTACATTTGGTGAGTTTTTTTTTTTTAAGTGATTTGGAAAAACTGTCACAGAAAACAGCAACTCCAGACAAACCACAATGACACCGAAAAACAAAAGATTTTCTAGAGCAAAACACTGCAAAGCAAATCATAAACACTTATTTTTTTTTTAAGACTTCTCATAGCTGAGAGGCATGTGCATAAAAGTTTGCCAACATAGAAAATAGTTAACACATTCCTAAAACAGTACCTTCCCCGCCTTTTAAACACTGTATACAGGTAAAGGACTCTGAAGTTTGAAAATAAGTAACCTTCTCTTTCCATCCCTATTTCCAGCAACTCCCTCCAGCTAAGTAACCACTTGCATGGCTGGGCCATATTCTCCCTCATTACACAGCCTCAAAACAACCTGATGGAAGTATATGTTATACATATTTTATAGATGAGAAAAAATTACATTAAGAAACCTATAACTGGCATGTCCTAGGTCACACAGCTAGCTAGTAAGTGGCAAACAAATTCCAGCTTTTTTTATTCCAAACTCTATGGTCCTAATCATTACACCTCATTATCTCTCCTTCTAAGACTTCCCTCAGCAACTGTACTTCTACTTTGTCATTCTCATTTCCCATAATTTAAATGTTACCCTTTTGTGACCTCTTAGCACTCTCTGCATACCTCTATTAGACTCCTCATTATGCAATATAACTCTCTATTTACTTGTCTGTTTCCCCAAACTAGACTGTAAGATACTTGAGATCAGGAACTGTCTATCACTCCTCCAATACCTGGTACAGAGCCAGGTGCATAGCAGGTGCTTAACCAGTGTAAACTAATTCATAAAAGCAATGCATTTACCTTAGAATCACTGATTCACCAGTGTTACACTAGGTAGAGGGCAACAATAATTACTATCTGGATTAAAGACAGAGTTAAATTAAACAACATTCACTTATTCCACATATACTCATTGAGAAAATACTATCTGCAGGTAGGAAATGGGAATGCAGCACCAAGAGTGAGGTGGTCCCTGCCCTCATTAAGCCTGAAATCTAACAGGGGAGACAGTTTTAAAAGAAAACTTAACAACAAATTTTATGTGTGTGTGTGTATATATATATATATATATATATATATATATAGTTGTGTATGTGTGTGAGTATATATGTACGCATTTAGTTATTTGTAATGTTTGTGTGGTATGTACTGTATTTTCAGCTCAGCACCCAAAACAAAGTGAGACTATTAAATGT